GTGAGAGGGAAAAGGAACAGTGGACACTTGTTGATGAATTGACCAGAAGAAGACAAAAGTACCAATTTCAGGGAATACTAGAACATATGTTTTAGAGCAAGATAACTGGGTAGGCTAGCCTTTCAGGATATCTCTGAAGATAGAGAGACAGAGCAGTAATGTAGGAGGAAAATTCCAAATTACCATGTGGTCAGTGTTTGGAAAATAGACAACTTAACATTAGTGGCAGCAATTATGTTACGGAAAGTGTTTCTGTTAGAAAGACTTACAGATGTTCCTGCCCTCTATTGGAGAATAATTTCAGTATCTCTCCCCTCATACTAACTTGTTTCATTTTGTCCTTTCTTGTATAGTTATTTGTTACACTCATATATTAATTCAATATAACCTACTTAGGAAGACTTGAGTTGACATGAGTATAATTGGACCCTGACTACCTGTATATTTCAACAACAACAAAAAAGGCATTTATCAGTAGTCAGACATATTTTATTATTCTATCATTTGCTCAATTTATTGTTTTGTGTTTCTTTTTTTTCATTTTTATTTTTTTCTTTTTTGAGAGACAGGATCTCACTCTGTGAGTCAGGTACTTGACTAGGGAGGCCAGTTAGTACAGTGGTGTCATCATAGCTTACTATAACTTCAAATTCCTGGACTCAAGAGATCCTCCTGCCTCAGCCTCTCAGGTAGCTGAAACTACAGTATACTCCACTGTGCCTGGCTAATTTTTATATTTTTATTTTTGTAAAGCTGGGGGGGTCTCACTGTGCTGCTCAGACTGGTCTCGAACTCCTGGCCTCAAGCTGTCCTCCCACCCTGGCCTCCCAAAGTGCCAGAGTTACAGGTGTGAGCCACCATGCTGAGTCATTTGCTCAGATTTGTGTGTGTGGGGGTGGCCTCTTGGTTGTTTAAAACGAAAGACTTTTCAAAGAGCAGTTAGCTGATTAAATAACGAATTCATGCAGTTGTTCAGCAAATGTTATTCTTTAAGTTAAATACTGTCCATTTTTAACTAAGAATTCTGTTTCATCTGCTAGGCATATGCATGGATAGAAATTACTAGATATCTTGGTGTATCTTCATTGAATCTTTCTGTTCCTGTTTCTTAATTGTTTAACATCTTTGCTATTGTATATTAGTATTTGTGGTCACCATTTCATCTTTATGGTACTTTCTCTTTGATGATGAGCACTTGGCAAGCTATCCTCTTTTTCAGTGCAAGTTCTGTTGAAACCCTCACTGTGTCCAGCCGCAGCAATAGGCCTCAGAGTCCATTTCTCAACCTGAAGCATTGTCTGTCTTTACATTTTAAACAAGCCCTATGTCATAGCATAATGAAGTAGGGGGGAAAAACCCCATCACTCACAATTTCCTATGCTTAACTGGCATTTATCTGAGAGACATTTTGGTCCTTGACTTGTAAGGATACTTGATTACTGATATTAGACCTGCCAGTCATCCTCTCTGTTCTTAAGAAAGTCACTTGAGCAACTAGCTTTATTTTTCAGTTTTCTTATGTGGCAAAAAGTGAGATTAATATGTTCCTTACCTATTTCATAGGGTTGTTGTGGATCAAATAAGAGAATGGCCTTGAAAATGCCTTGAAGAACTGATGGCAGTGACAGTGGCTGCCATCCTTGCATGGCCAGGCATTTCGTGGTACATTTGCTGTGTTTGCACCTGTGATTGTAGTGCTCTTGGGTTAGCCACTACTGTGTCCATTTAAAACTGAGGACACTCTTATGAGACAGATAAAGTATTTGGGGATTTTCAAGGGAAGGAATAGTTGCTTCTGGCTGGGATTCAGAAAACACTTCCTGGACAAGGCGATATTTTGGCTGTCTTGTAGCAGTTAGGGAAAATGTTGCCTGGTAGCACTAAAATGGCCTTTTATGTACTCAACATCTAATTGCAAAGCATTGTTCTTTGTTTGTAAAATGAGTATATCCCCTGCTTGGATTAAAAGCTTACTTCTGCCAGGCATGGTGGCTCACGCCTGTAATTCCAGCACTTTGAGAGGCTGAGGCAGGAAGATCACTTGAGCCCAGGACTTCAAGACCAGCCTAGGCAACAAAGTGAGACCCTGTCTTTCCAAAAACGTAAGAAAATTAGCTGGATGTTATGGTGGTGTAAGCCTGTCATCCCAGCTACTTGAGAGGCTGAGGTGGGAGGATCCCTTGAGCCCAGGTTATTGAGGCTGCAGTAAACCAAGGTCACACCACTGTACTCCAGCCTGGGCGACAGAGCAAGACCCTGTCTCTAAAAATAAAATAAAAGCTTCCTTCAACCACATTTTTGGTATAAGTTGCCCCTTGCTTTTTTCTCTCTCAGACAAGGAAGAGCTTACCCTGCTTTATTTTCTCCTGGGAAGGAAGGGCATGGAGGGTGTTTTGTAGAAAGAGCTTTAGAATGCTTGGTGGAAAGGATAGCCCTGTCCCTGACTTAGTGTCACAGCCATGGGAGCGCTGCTCAGTATTGCTTCCAAGGGCTATTTAGTCACCACATGAGCTGCTGTGTGCAGCACTGCAGTGGTAGCCAACATCATAAAATGTTATTCTACAAGTTATTTGGTGCTATAGATCTTGATCAAAATTCATAGTTACTAGAATATTGTCAAGATTTATCATAGAAATCTTCGAAGAAACTGTAGTCAGGCAGTATGATGCATCTTAGATACATAAGTATTTCTTCTGTAATACTATTTATGTATTTCTATAATAGCCTGCATTTATAAAATCTGTCAGGGTCTATGGGGACTTGAGCTGCCCAAGACAAGAATTAGTTTCTGAAGAGAACTTGCGCTGCTTGGGCAGGCAGCTGAGCATGGCTGGGGGCTGCCACAGTGCCCAGAACCAAGAGCCTGTACTCAGCTGGCACACTTGAACTTGAGCAGACCGTTGGTGCTTGAGAGCAGAAGTGGCCCTGGAGCCCTGACAGCTGCTGCTGTCAGTGGGGGACAGGGGAGGCTTGAGGCCTGTGCAGTGCTGGGAATGAACCCTGAGTTGAGTATAGGTACAAGTTTTAAAAATTCTTAAATTACGTCTCAAAATGCTCCTGTGGCCACTGTAGCTCCTAAATCTAGGGCTTTTCCCTTTGCTTCTGAAGACTCTAATTCTGCACAGACTGCTCTGGCTGCCCTGCTGAGGAAAAAAATTTTGTGGACTGAAGTGACCTCCACATTATCCTGATTTCTTTTCCAGTTTACCAGTTGAAGATGAGCTACTTTTCATTCACAGAATGCCTGTTGTGGTGAAGCATCTGTGTGTTCACTTCTTAGTGCCTTTCTTTACAAGTTGGTTTCATTCCTCTGTTCCCTCCCTAGAGTGACTAGCAGAAACTCGTTATATGCTGCTTGTACATTGTGCTTATTCATATCCTTCCCCCATTCTGTTTTCTTGCCTTAAGAAATAGCTGTCCAAGACAGTGCTCAGGGGAGGCAAGGTGACCCAGGGCCCAGTATATGGGCATGTGCCATGGACATCTAGATAAAGAAAGGGATGAAAAATTTGGGGTTGAATGTGAAATGAATGAAGAAAAAGTGAGAGGGAGAAAGAAATAGAAACTCAATTAAACTGTACAATTAAAATCTTAGCACTGTCTAAATATTAATTTTTATTATTCACTATTAACCAGTTGGCTGAAGTGGTAGAGAAACTCACATTAGTGAATATCTGTTATTAACAAGGCAGTATGTTGTACCCTTCATTTTTGTTCTCAATTTATGTATTTTTTTTAGTTAAAAAGCACAGAGAGTAATAGAAACACATAAGCAGACTCACTGCCTAGAATTAGTAACACATGTCAATCCTTTGTCTTTTTTTTTGTTTGTTTCCCATACTTTTGTAACAGAAACAATATGACACATAAATTTGAAACCCTCCGGGTTCCCCTCCTGAGTCATACTCCTCTTTCTGTCTCCTTAGAGACAGTGGCTTTCATGACTTTTCTGTGAATCCTTCTATTTATATTTTTATACTTATCTTGTATTCATAAGCAATATTATATTGATTTCTGTGTTTTTTAAAATTACATTGTAGGTGTCATACTCTGTATATCCTGTTTATCCCCTTTCATTTCTTGAGACCTCTTCATCTGATTCTTACACATCTAGTTCACCTCATTTTAAGTGCCGTACAGTGTTCTGTTGTATGAACACACCATAGTTTACCCATCTTACTGATTTATGCTGGGTGCAGTTTTCTACTCTTATAAACAACACTGAGATGTGTATCCTTGTTTAGGTATACTGGTGCATCTGACAGTTTCTGGGTACCTACCTAAGAATTCTGGGGTATAGGCTATGCACAGTCTCAACTTCAGTTATCTCATTTAATCCGAACAAATGTTTCCTGGGGCAGGTGGCAGGATCTCCATTTTACACATAAGAGAATTGAAGTGTTGAATGCCATGGAACTTGGCCAACTTAATAAGGAGACCAGTACTTGAATCCAGATCAAATTCCACCCATTTCAATCTAGAGCTCTAATACCCAGCAGTCCACATAACTCTTCAACTGTTAGCCCTTCTGATCATTGGAACAGTTGCAGCCAGCTAGTAACATACATGATTTCAAAGCAGGGAATCAAAACATAATAAAGAGGAGGGTCCATCCTTAAGAAGAAGAAGAATCCACAGTGGCCATATTCTCCTTGTGGTCATCAAAGGATTTGAGACTTGGAATAAAAAGCGTGCTCCTTAAAATGATGGGTCTAAGGTTTCTATTTATACAGGCCTATTTCTTCATGACAGAAGACTGTTTATTTTATGTTGCTTAAAATCTGTTTATTAAATGCAACATGCAAGCCTATTTTGATTAAAGAAAAGTGTTATAGTGAGCATGGTGGTGTCTCTGTTTTACTTTGCAAAATGTGGAGACCATTTTCTCCAGGTGAAGAGTGCTATCTGCATGTGGATCTTTTTTTCATGACACTTTATTCACGCTTGAATCATCTGTCTTTTGATTTCATTTTTGCTTTGTTCTTTTCTTCAACTTCTAGGTAGAAAATCCGGTGTATTAACTGTGAAAATTTTAGAGCTGCACGAGGAATGTGCCATGCAAGTTGCCATGTGTGAGCAGTTATTGGGGCCACCAGCCACCAGCCCCTCCCGAAGTGTGACCCCCAGGCCTGGAGCTGGCCTGAAAGTTCTCTTCACCAAGGAGACTGCAGGCTACCTCAGGAGCCATCCCCAGGACACTGTCCGGATCTTCCCTCCCTGGTGAGTGCGTAGAACTGAATCCAGCAGTCACCAACTGTGAGTCAGCCTCTATAAGAAAAGACATTTTTATCAGGAACATTTTTGTCACTTTATCATAGAGTAATGCCAGAGGAAGAGAGCCAGGATTGGACATGGGTTTTCTGTCAGAGAAGCACTGGATTGTCTCTGATGGCTCGTTTCCACTTCTGTCAGCAAATTTCTCATAATTTGGGGTGAGAGGGTTGAGGAAACAACTGTATTAAGATTCTTGCCCAAGGATGTGTTATAAGATCTGGCTGTTTTTGTTTTTATGTTTCTTAGAAAAATAATTTTGTTAACAGGCATTATGTGACAATAGGATAACACATTAATTACATATTTCTTAGTCACTTGAGAGGGGAGAATAAAAAGCATGAATTAAGATATACTAGTGTTTGAATTGCAGGAGCAAAAGTGGTCATTATTGGATCAGAAAGTATTTTAAAGGATACTACGTTTGCTCTCTTTTGCAGTGGGATATTGATTTTTAGCATGAATAGAAGAAAAACACTACTTCTGAGGAAAAGTTTGAGCACCCTTGTTTTAAGAGCTAGTTATTAATTTGCTGGTAATTTTTTATAAGTTTTCATTGTGTATGAGGAAGGGCTATAGGATAAATTTTTATAAGTATTATTGCTAGATCAGAGGATATGTGCCTCTTTAATTTTAGCAGACTTTGTCAAATGGCACCATCTTATGTTCCCACTAGCAATGCCTGAAGTGCCTTTTTCTTCTCCTTTACAAACCTACTCTATTGATCTAGACCAAGTTAAAAATTGGAAATATGATGTTTATCATTTTAATTTGTATTTCTCTTACATAAAATGGGCTTAGGCATATTTCTCCATGTTTAAGAATCATTTGTATTTCATTTTATGTCCATTAATAACTTTTGACCTTTCTTCTCTTAGACTCTCGGTCCTAGTGATTTCTACCAACTTTTTATAAATGATTAAAAAAAAAAAAAGTAGCGCCTTGTCAGTCATACACATTGCAGTTAGTTCATTCCCCATTTGTCATTTGACTTTTGACGTTTTTAGGGGGCAGGGGTTTGTTTTGTTGCTTTGTTTTTGATGAGCAGAAATTTTCTGTTTTTCTGTGGTTGATTTTACCCATCTTTTCTTCTGTGAGTTTTGTGTCATTGATAGAAAGGTTTTCCTTACTATGAGGTATAAAAGTTATTCTCTGTTTTATTCTAAGACTTTTATGGATTTTAAAAAATTTTACATTTAAGTCTTTTGACACTCCTGGAATTTATGTGTAATATGTGAGGTAGTGAATGCAATTTTATTTTTTTCCAAATGGCCACCAGGAGTCCCAACATTATTTGTTGAACATTCTGTTTTTTCTTCATATGATTTTAATGCTGCCTTTATCGTGTACTAAATACCTACATATATTTTGGGCTATTTGCTCTTTTAATGTAACTGTATTTGCACATGCTAGTATACTATTTCAATTACTATAGTTTTATATGGTGTTTTAATAACCGCTGGGACTACTCATATCTCATTAAGCTTAATTTTTAGAACTTTCCTCCTAATAATTGCTTCCTTTCTTTTTTGCTTTAAATATTTGCCTTTAACATTTATTTTCAAATATGCATTATAAAAGTTAATTCAGAAATATATAACTTAGAAAGTGAATCCTCTTACCCCCACCTCTTCAATTAATCACACTCATTGTAGATGACTGCTGTTAACAATTTGGAGTATAATCTTCCAATTTTTTTAAATTCTTAAATATTCAATTATGTGTTTAACACATCCCAGTGACTATACGTAATCTATATGTAAGTTATGTAATCCTGCCTATTTTTCTATAATAACTTTAGGTTTAACTTACTGGATTAAAAACAAATTGATAGGTTTTTTAGGGTAGGTTAATCTCTGCATTCACGGAGTAGGGCTTTAAAGGTAATGTCTGGCCAGGGTTCTGACGTGATGCTCCTCTCTCCATGTTCATGGAGTGCACAGCAGCACAGGACTTCTGTCAGCATCTCTCTTACCTTGAACCTGTCTTCCCTCCTTCAGAAATCAGTCCTCATTCGGATCTTCTTTGTTCACCCCTTGGTTTTACTCCCTTGTGGAATTTAGCTCTTTCATTAGTGTCTAAGTTCATTTGTGGTGGCAGAGCCTTTTATTGTTATTATTTTTAAAAAATCTCCTCCCTCCTCAGCTTTTTAAATTCTTTTTTTCTTTTTCTATTTTTTGTAGAGACAGAGTCTTGTTATGTTGCCTAGGTTAGTCTCAAACTCCTGGCCTCAAGCAGTCCTCCCACATTGGCCTCCCAAAGTTCTGGGATTATAGGCCTGAGCCACCAGGCCTGGTCCCTTCTCAACTTCTGATTTTTTCGGCACACCTTTATATGTTTTAAAATGCATTTATTAAATGACCTTGTTTTTTAAATACCTAAATATGATTATTTTCCTTCAGGGAAGATGTTTTAGAGGCTTTAAATGTAGGACATTTTCTTGGGCTTATGAGAAGTAAAATTAGATCAAGCTTATCTACAAAGATTTATATGACCAAGAATTTCTAAATCCCAGTGACTCCTTAGACTTTACAAGTAAATGAGTTATTATCATTAGACTTTGGAATGTTTGTTGGTCTGGATCTTACCAAACAACCCCTGGGTGTTACTCTCCGCAGGAATGCCTGTGGGCTGTCAAGTGATTATTTGCCTGTATTCAACATATAATACTTAAGAAAATAGAAGAGGCCAGGTCGCGTTAGCTCACGCCTATAATCCAGCCAGTTTAGGAGCCAAGCAGGGGCGATCATTTGAGGTCAGGAGTTCGAGACCAGCCTGGCCAACACGGTGAAACCCGTCTCTACTAAAAACACAGAAAGTACTGGGTGTGGGTGGGTGTGCCTGTGGTCCCAGCTACTTGGGAGGGTGGTAGGGTGAGAGAATCCTTGAGCCCCAGGAGATGGAGGTTGCAGGTAGCCAAGACTGCACCACTGCATTCCAGCCTGGGTGACAGAGCAAGGACCCTGTCTACAAAAAAAAAAAAAAAAAAAAAAATGCACAACAAAAAAAAACACCTCATATTAAATGAAGAAAAACCAAACTAATTTTTTTTTTTTTATTTTTTTTATTTTTTTGAGCGGATCTCGCTCTGTCGCAGGGCTGGAGTGCAGTGGCGCGATCTCGGCTCACTGCCAAGCTCGCGCCCCCGGGTTCCACCATTCTCCTGCCTCAGCCTCCCAAGTAGCTGGGGACTACAGCGCCGCCACCACGCCCGCTAATTTTTTTGTATTTTAGTAGAGACGGGGTTTCATTTGTGTTAGCCAGGATGTCTCGATCTCCTGACCTCGTGTGATCCGCCCGTCCTGCCTCCCAAGTTGCCTGGGATTACAGGCTTGAGCCACCGCGCCCGGCCCTGAAAACCAAACTAATTTTTAAAGGACTAGTCTTTTTTTTTTTTTTATGGAAACTTGAGAAATAATAGTGAATATATTTTTCCTTGTGGGCTGGCTGTCCTTTTCCCACTAGCACCCTTCTGTGTTCATTTAAACTGTTTTTTAACGTGGGCACAGTTTTTTAAAAGAATCAGTAGACTTTAGATGCTCATATTGGTCCTGGAGTAATAAATGTGAGTTTAGGTATAATGGCTGCTTACCCCGAGGTGCTCAAGAGCCCTCTGTAGATATTACTTGATAAATTCTCATTGGATTCCAACGAGATGTAATGCAGCTTTGCCTCTGGCAATCTGAAAATAAAGATAGAAGTAAAATGTCTTGCCTCTAATTAATTGCATTATGAAATAGTCATAGAATTGTATAACAGTAACCAACTTATTAAAAAATGCATTAATCTATGTAATTTCAGACATATAAAAATAAAATAGTAAAATGAATCCCATGTCCCATAGTTTCAACATTTATTAACTAATGAGTAAACAGCTTTTACTACTCAAGCAAATTGAAAGCTTTATAATGATTCCAAAGAAACATCTCACCACTTGAACACAGATATAGTAGAAAAAACAAATGAAGGAATTTACTATAATGATATTGGGGAGAGAGGAAGGTAGAAACCATCTGCCTGATTACATCCTGCCATGAAATCTAATGCCAGAATGAGGGTGGGTGAGAGGTTAAGTGTGTGAGAGTGTATCCAGGGACAACCAGGACACCTTTCATTCATTCAGAAGTATTTATTGGTATGCCCTGATACCAATACTTTGCTTCTCCTCAGAATACACATCCCAGTATGCTGGAAGAGTGAAGTCTGACTTTCCCTATTGTCATGAGTATACCCTTCCATCGGTCCATTCATATCGTCATCTTTTTAGTCACTACTTAGTATTCCACTATATGAATATGTGGTAATTTAAACATCCTCTTATTTAGGATTGTTAAGATTGCTTTCTATTTTTAGCTGTTTTAAACACTGCTTGGGTGAAATATTTATCATTATACCTGCCTTCTGATTTGGTTCTTAGACTATTTCTAGAAGTAGAAATTCTTGGTCATAGAATACCAGTGGGTTTTGAGGCTTTTGATATATGATTTCCCTAGTAACCTGTAAAGATTGAAGCTGTCTCAGCTGCTGCCAGTTTCTCATCACACCACACTCAACATTTTTTATGGCTGCACAGTGTGATATAATTTTTTTTTTTTTAGTTCATGCATGGACCATTTTTATTTCTTTTCTTTTTTTATTATTATTATTATTATACTTTAAGTTCTAGGGTACATGTGCATAACGTGCAGGTTTGTTACATATGTATACTTGTGCCATGTTGCTGTGCTGCACCAGAGTGAACAGGCAACCTACAGAATGGGAGAAAATTTTTGCAATCTACTCATCTGACAAAGGGCTAATATCCAGAACCTACAAAGAACTCAAACAAATTTACAAGAAAAAAACAACCCCATCAAAAAGTGGGCAAAGGATATGAACAGACATTTCTCAAAAGAAGACATTCATACAGCCAACAGACACATGTGATATAATTTTTAAAACACTTTCCA